ATTCAGCCGCTGTTGAAACTGATCAGTTTCAGCAGCGGCTGAATCTGGACGCCAGTTCCGACTTACATACAGATTCAACTTAAGAACAAACCTACAGTCCCTATCTTGTACGTAACCCGGGGACTGCCTGTATTCATGCAGTAATACAGCTGAAAGATTTCCATTCTTGCCATTTTTTGTACTTTAAAGCTTGACCCTTGTAAGTACTCAGTCTGACTCTGATCAGTTTCAGCAGCGGCTGAATCTGGACGCCAGTTCCGACTTACATACAGATTCAACTTAAGAACAAACCTACAGTCCCTATCTTGTACGTAACCCGGGGACTGCCTGTATTCATGCAGTAATACAGCTGAAAGATTTCCATTCTTGCCATTTTTTGTACTTTAAAGCTTGACCCTTGTAAGTACTCAGTCTGACTAGTTCCTTGTATTACATTAAAAGTTTTTTCCCCACATGAGGAGTGGGAATTTGGGGTCATTTAGCCAAGGAATTCCTACATCAAAGACACCTTCAAAAATGGTTGTCTAGTGCTGCCTCATACAGAGACATGCTAATGATGAGGTGAATCGTGATGGTTGCGAACTTACCCTTCAGATAACATAACTAAGGATAAATTAATCACAAGCCCCCACCTAAGACAAAAGAAGTTTTATAAACTGAGCAGCTGGCAGTTGTTATAACTTGTGAATCATGGGGTGGGAGCATTATTTTCGGAGTAATGTAATTCAGGTTTTTTTGGGGTGGGACATTGGACATGTAATGCATTCTGGGAGGGGCATTAGAGTATGGAGGTGTGAGGGAATAGGGATTTGGTCCTCCAGCAAGGGGAGGGGTGTTATCAGGAATGATATAAATGAGGATAGCGGAGGAGGCAAGAGTGGGGGCACACTCCCCAGTTCTGCCAGTGTTCCCCAAACTTCCTGCACACTAATCCTCCTGCACCCCACAGCTGTCAGTGTACCCCAACCTTCGTGCATCTCAGCCTTGCCAGTACACTGTAGCCCCTTGCATTTAAACCTCCATTCACTCTGCAAGTTTCTGAGTGCATCACAACGCCCCCCTCCTCCCTCCCGCACCTCCAGCTCTCCCAGAGCACCCCATCTCCCCTGAAATCCCAAAATCATTTTGGGGAAAAGTAGACACGTGAATGCTTCCTGGGAGGGGTAATTATTCCCCAACTCCTCTGACCCCTAGAGGGAAAGGGGTTTGTAGTGACTGCAAAGGTAGGTGGCTTTGGGGAGGGGTAAATGGGGATGGATAGATGGTAGGATAGGGGATGGAAGTTTAGGGGCTCAGGTGAGGGAGGTTTAGGTGAAGTGGAGGGGTGGGACAGTGAGAAGGGAAAAGGGGGAGTGAGTGGCAGAAGGATTTGGGGATAATAGGATCAGGAGCACCTGTAAGCCTCTCATTCTGCCCACTTTTGTGTGTGCCCAGATTTGGATGTGTGGGGAATCTTTGCCCCTTTTGCTACTCCTGTGTATGTGCCAGGATCTGGAGAGGGAGAGAGGCTGTTCCCATCTATCAGGGCATGTTGGGACATTGCTGAAAGAGGGCAGAGTTAAGTTAGTATAGGCAATCTCAACTGCATTTTGTGGTTTCTAACAGTTCGCCAACTCAGTGTTGTGCCAGTGCATGACACAAAACCTGACCACCATAAAACCGTAACACTTCATTCAATAACTTAGTTTTTTGACAGTGAATTGAAATTATTTTTGTGCTGGTGATCAATAAACATTGATCTTTACTCCATTGCTTTGTTTTGGGAGTTGGCTAAAACAAAAGACTTCTGATGGATATGAAATTTTCCATTTGTGATATCTGGTTCACATCCAGCCCATGTTGGTAGTACCAAAGTTTTTATCTTGACTTTTTGAGGGCTTCTGTAAAATGGTTTTGGTGATCCATTCAATATCCTGACCAGACAGGAATTCGTATAAAATAGCCATCACAGTTGGCACTAATGGAGACCTATTCTAGCATTCTTCTTATGGGGTCAGTGAATGTATCAAAGATGGAACTTTGCACTGATCTGCCCCAGGCCGCCTCCCTGGATGAGGCATACTGGCTGTCAGAATGGCACCTGCCATGAACAACAAGGATGTGTGTGCATAAATGAACATCAGCTTTGTTTTTTACTAGAAATGGTCATCTTCTGTATAACTCAGGCCTGCGTGTAATCTGGATGAAATCTTCAAATTCTTCCTCCTTCCTCTTGGTCTCCAGAGGGTATATAAATGTGGCTGCTCTTCATCCATATATGCCTAAGATTCATAGTTTTCTTTCTGCCCATACAGCTAAAATTCTGCATGGTCTCATAGCTTCACTATTTCAGCCGTCTCCACCACCACCTCAGACCTTTGTGACAAACATTACTCTTAGCCGTTCTACAAAATGCAGCTGCTAAAATAATCTTTCCTTGTTGATCTGATCATATCACCCCTCCCTTTCTAATCTCTCCACGAGCTTCCCCTTTCTCATCACAAGTTAGACACTTGTCCTGTCATTCAAAGCCTTTTAAAACATTTTCCCTCTCAATTCATCTGTTCGTTTACCACATTGTACCCTGGCTCTTCTAGTGACAAGAATGATTGTACAAAACCCTCATGAACCTACAATAGAAATGTATTTTAAATGACTAAAGTTAGTCAGATGGTTGTGGCGCTTTCTCATCCTCTGTGGGTCAGATTGGGCACTCTGTGATGCTGTCCTACAGGACAGATATAAAATATGCCTCCCGCTGTAGAATTTGTGTACTGTCCTCTTAAATTTTAGTCTATCTTGCTGTTTGGTGCCATAAGACTTCATTGTTGCCTTTCTTTGTCTCTTTAGGGACGAGACGGTGCCCAGATTGAACCTTGGGAAGATGCAGACTACCTTCTTTACAAAGTCACAGACAGATTTGGCTTTCTACAGTAAGTTGCTAGTTTCACAAGGAAATAAGATTTTAAAATCTTATCAAAACTTATTAGTATTTTTTGATGTATGCCTAATTGGTGAAAGTGTTGCTTGCTTTTAATAGAACTGCTGTGAGAACAGAATTCCAGTTAGTGTATGCATTTTTAAATGGTCTTGCACTGTGGTTTTTCAGTTATTATATTCTCCGCTTATTTTATTTCTATGATTGAAATTGATTTGCAATTGGGAATTGAAAGGTTTGACTATTTTACTTGGGTGTGAGAGTTATAGCTAGTTACAGTGAATACTTACAATCATGCTTCTGAATTAAGATTACATATATTATTTGTATTTTCAAATTTACAAAATAAAAATTTCAGAATAATTGTAGCATTGGTCCAAGGATATTAGAGATCTGAAGGAGAGAAGCTCTGTGTAACCATAAAAGTTTGGCTCTCACCAGTTGAAATTGGTCCCATAAAAGATATCTCACTTACTTTGTATCTCTAAAATGAAAATTGTAACATCCATATAAAATATTGAAAAAGTGCAGATCAGAAGTTTTGAAGTCCTAGAGAGGGAAGCTTCCTTTTTATGTTTTTACTGAATTTTCCATCTTTTTCATTTTCAAATGTGTAGGAAATTGCATACAGAGTTCTACAGTGATTTAAAAAAAAAAAAAAGAAATTCCTGATCCTGTAAAGATGGATGACTGCGGTTCACATTATGCACTGACTAGTCCCATTAAAGTTATTGGGCCTATTCATATTGTACAAAGCTAAGCTCTTACATATGTCTTTCCAGGTTTGGGGCCTAAAATTTTATAATTAAGCACTCAAAATCAGGAAATTCCAGAACTCAGATTGTGTGCACCTCTGTTGCATCGCAGCATAGATTTGATCACCTATTATTTATTTAAAAAGCATCCGGATTAAATTCTAATATGTAAGTGAAGACCAGCATAACAAATATTGCAAAGGAAGTAGACTGAAGATTGATTTTTCTTCACTTTTCTGTACTCCGTTATACAGTCATGACATTCTGTTAACATTGAGGTATCTTTCCATTGTCTGCATAGACAATTGATCAGGCCATAAAATAAGCTTCTAGACCTGGAAATATCTTTAGCAAAGCTACTAGCCTTTCATTAGTGTCTATAGATGGGAGTAAAAGTATATTCTGAGAAGAACAATTTGCAGGTATTGAACACTTACAATGATTTGCTAACTTTTCCACTAACAAATCAGGATTCTTCAGCATTTTTAAGTTATGTATACACTACAAACTGTGGTGCATACAAGTTGTATTGGCACAAACACTGAAGTTTTTATATTGCTTGGGCTTGTGCAGACTTGGCTGCTTGTGTTGGTACTGGTGCACTCACCACGGATACTGGTCGGTGCAAACTGTGGTACATCATGGGTACATAAATGGCAGTGTGTGTATGCCACCATCTAGTGTAGTGCCTTTTGAGAAATGTTTGCAATGTATTGAGAGAGAGACTCATAGACTTTAAGGTCAGAAGGGACCGTTTTGATCATCAAGTCTGACCCCCTGCACAGTACAGGCCACAGAATCTCACCCACCCCTCCTAGAATAATCCTCTCACCTATATCTCAGATATTGAAGCCTTCAAATACTTTGAAAACCCCAAGATGCAGAGATCCTCCAGCTGTGATCTGTACCCTATGCTACAGAGGAAGGCGAAAAACCTCCAGGGTCTCTGCCAATCTACCCTGGAGGAAAATTCCTTCCTGACCCCAAATATGGTGATCAGCTACATCCTGAGCATGTGGGCAAGACTCACCAGCCAGACACCCAGAAAGTTCTCTCTAATAACTCCTATCATCCCTCCATTGACCTATTTCCCACTGATAATGAATGGTCAATTAGTTACCAAGATCATGTTCTCATCAAACCATCCCCTTCATAAACCCATCTAGTTTAATCTTGAAATCAGATAGATCTTTTGCTCCCACTACTTCCCTTGGAAGGCCGTTCCAGAACTTCACTCTTCTAATGGTTAGAAACCTTCGTCTAATCTCGAGTCTAAACTTCCTACTAGTCAGCTTATATCCATTTGTTCTTGTTTCCACATTGGTATTAAGCTTAAATAATTCCTCTCCCTCCCTGGTATTTAGCCCTCTAATATATTTAAAGAGTGCAATCATGTGCCCCCTCAGCCTTCTTTTGGTTAAGGTAAACAAGCCAAGCTCCTTGAGTCTCCTTTCATAAGACAGGTTTTCCATTCCTCGGATCATCCTAGTGGCCCTTCTTTGTACCTGTTCCAGTTTGAATTCATCCTTCTTAAACATGGGAGACCAGAACTGCACACAGTATTCCAAATGGGGTCTCACCAATGCCTTGTATAATGGCACTAACACCTCCTTATCCCTACTGGAAATACCTCGCCTAATACATCCCAAGATCGTATTAGCCTTTTTCACGGCCATGTCACAATGGTGGCTCATAGTCATTCTATAATCAACCAGGACTCCGAGGTCCTTCTCCTCCTCCGTTACTTCCAACTGATGTGTCCCCAGCTTATAACTAAAATTCTTGTTATTAATCCCTAAATGCATAACCTTACACTTCTCACTATTAAATTTCATCCTATTGCTATCACTCCAATTTACAAGATCATCCAGATCTTCCTGTTTAATATCCCGATCCTTTTCTGAATTAGCAATACCTCCCAACTTTGTGTCATTTGCAAATTTTATCAGGACATTTTTGGTGCGAAGGTCAGCGATAAAAAGATTAAATAAAATTGGCCCCAAAACTGATCCCTGAGGAACTCCGCTATTAACCTTCCTCCAACCTGACAGTTCACCTTTCAGTATGACCCGCTGTAGTCTCCCCTTTAACCAGTTGCTTATCCACCTCTCAACTTTCATATTAATCCCTATCTTTTCCAATTTAACCAATAATTCCCCATGTGGTACTGTATCAAATGCCTTACTAAAGTCGAGGTAGATTAGATCCACTGCATTTCCTTTATCTAAAAAATCTGTTACTTTCTCAAAAAAGGAGATCAGGTTGGTTTGGCACGATCTACCTTTTGTAAAACCATGTTGTAATTTGTCCCAATTGCCATTAGCCTCAATGTCTCTAACTACTTTCTCCTTCAAAATTTTTTCCAAGATCTTGCATACTACAGATGTCAAACTAACAGGCCTATAGTTACCCGGGTCGCTTTTTTTCCCTTTCTTAAAAATAGGGACTGCATTAGTAATTCTCCTGTCAAATGGTACAACTCCTGAGTTTAGAGATTTATTAAAAATTTTTGCTAATGGACTTGCAAGTTCATGTGCCAGTTCCTTTAATATTCTTGGATGAAGATTATCTGGGCCGCCCGATTTACTCCCATTATGCTGTTCAAGTTTGGCTTTTACCTCGGATATGGTAATATCTACCTCCACATCCTTAGTTTCATTTGTTATGTTACCATTATCCCTAAGCTCTTCATTAGCCTCATTAAAGACTGAAGCAAAGTATTTGTTTAGATATTGGGCCATTCCTAGATTATCCTTAACCTTCACTCCATCCTTAGTAATTAGTGGTCCTACTTCTTTTTTTGTTTTTTTCCTATTTATATGACTATAAAACCTTTTACTATTGGTTTTAATTCCCTTTGCAAGGTCCAACTCTACCTGACTTTTAGCCTTTCTCACTTTGTCGCTACATGCTCTAACCTCAATAAGGTAGCTTTCTTTACTGATCCCTCCCATTTTCTTCTACTTATATGCTTTCTGCTTTTTCTTAATCACCTCTCTGAGATGCTTGCTCATCCAGCTTGGTCTAACACATCTGCCTATAAATTTTTTCCCTTTTCTTGGGATACAGGCTTCTGACAGCTTCTGCAACTTTAACTTAAAATAATTCCAGGCCTCCTCCACTTTAAGATCCATAATTTCTTTAGTCCAATCAACTTCCCTAACGAATTTCCTTAATTTACTAAAGTTAGCCCTTTTGAAATAATAAACCCTAGTCTCAGATTTATTTTTGTTTATCCTTCCATTTAATTTGAACTGTATTAGCTCATGATCACTCGAGTGAAGGTGGTCCCCTACAACCATTTCATCTGTGAGGTCCTCGCTACTCACCAAAACCAAATCTAAAATAGCATCCCCCCTTGTTGGTTCAGCAACTACTTGATGAAGGAATTCATCAGCTATCACATCTAGGAAAATCTGAGCCCTATTATTATTACTAGCACTTGTTCTCCAGTCTATATCTGGAAAGTTGAAATCTCCCATGATTACGCAGTTTCCATGAGTATTTACTTCATTAAAAACATTAAAGAGGTCTCTATCCATATCCAAATTGGATCCTGGTGGTCTATAACACACCCCAAGCACTATCCCAGGGGAGGATCTGATAGTTTTCTTCCCCAATGTGGTTTTTGCCCAAACGGACTCTGTCTTCTCCATTCCATCACTTTTTATTTCTTTACAATCTACCTCATCTTTGATATACAATGCGACTCCACCACCTTTACCCTTATTTCTGTCTTTCCTAAACAGCACATATCCTTCAATACCTGTACTCCAGTCATGCCTAGTATTTCACCATGTTTCTGTTATTCCAATAATATCTGGTTTCACTTCCTGGGCCAATAGCTCTAGTTCCTCGTTTTTGTTACTAGGCTCCTCGCATTGGTGTACAAACATCTTAATTTTTGCTGTTTGGCCTCATTCACATTCTTTACCCAATTTGGCACGGACGTTATACCTCCAATATTACCTATCAGACTAGTATCCACCCCACCCTTCCTCATGTTCATTCTCCTACCCCCAACTATATCCTTTCTTACTTCGTTTTCCTCCCTCTCAGTGTTAAAATCTGGCGTAGAGATTACCTGGGCATCTCCCAACCGCCTATTTAGGTGAAGTCCATCCCTAGAGAACAGTCCTCTGTCCATAAATGCTTCCCAATGACCATACATCCCAAAGCCCTCCTTATAGCACCACTGCCTAAGCCATCTATTGATCATCATAGTCCTGTCACATCTTAG